GGCGCTAGTTTCTTCTTCAAGAGAGGAGAGATTGACCGAGGTAACCTGGCCAAATTTGTGCCTACCCTAGCCCGTCAGCTGGCCTGGAGCATGTCGGGAGTTGCACTGTTCGTCAAGAAAGCAATCGATGCCGATCCCGACATAGTCGGCAAGGCCGTGAGAGAACAGTTCGAAAAGCTTATTCGAGAACCACTGTCAAAAGCAGCAGCAATGCCATCCACTCCATTTTCGGTCGTAATGATCATTGATGCTCTGGACGAGTGCGAGCGGGAGGCCGATGTTAGGTCGCTGGTCAACATTCTCTCGCAAACACAAATTCACCGCCCTCGCCTTAAGGTTTTGTTAACCAGCAGGCCGGAACTTCCAGTTCGGCTGGGGTTCGGCGAGATTCAAGGCACCTACAAATATTTTGTTCTGCACGAAATACCTGTGCAAACTGTTGAGCACGACATATCGGCTTTTCTCGCTCATGAGTTTCGAAAGATTCGAGATAGCTTCAACATGACCGTGGGGGATGAGCGAAAGCTACCATCCGATTGGCCAGGGCAGCAAACGTTGCAAGACCTGACGCAGATGGCTGTGCCACTCTTCATCTTCGCGATGACCATTTGTCGGTTCATCAGCGACCGCAGATGGAATCCTCAAACACGGTTGCAAAAGGTGCTAGACCAAGGAAACAAGAGTCAGGGGTCTCAACTTGACCAAACCTATGGGCCGATCTTGCGCTCACAAATAACCGAAGTCTCGCAAGCTGACAGAGAGGAGATCATCAAAGACTTTAGGGAAATCGTTGGCAGTATCGTTACCCTTGCAAGTCCTCTGTCCGTAACGGCCCTATCGCGACTGCTTGACGTCTCGCCTGATGTTGTGGATGAAAGGTTGGAAGTACTCCATTCAGTTTTGAGCATCCCGCTCAAACGTACATTGCCCGTGCGGTTGCTGCATTTGTCATTTCGAGATTATCTTGTCACGGAGAAGAGTGACTTCTGGGTGGATGAGAGACTCACTCACCGGAACCTGGCAAAACACTGTTTACGACTTATGCGAGGGGCTCTGCGTGAGAACATATGCGGCCTGTCTTTCCCAGGTATGCGTCGATCTGTGGTGGCTGGTGCACGACTCGAGGAAGGCATACCCCCACAGCTTCAATATGCATGTATGTACTGGGTCCATCATCAGACCAAGGTCGATTTTAAGCCGAATGACAGCCACGAGGTTTACGATTTTCTGAAAATACACTTTCTTCATTGGGTAGAGGCGCTGAGCATGATGGGCCGAGCCGGAGAAAGCCTTGACTCAATCAGGTCGTTGATTGATTGGCTAGAGGCAAGCCATTTCCATAGCTTGAAGTTTGGGCCGCCGCTGAGTTTTGTTAGGACCGAAGCGATTCGAGCCTATTCAGGTTTCTGGCTGATGCCGTTCGATTCCTTCAGGGGCATCTCTCTGTGATAAATGAAGCACCGTTGCAGATTTATTCTTCTGCCCTGGCTTTCGCCCCGAAGAGGAGCATCATCCGAAAAACATTCAGAAATTGCATCCCAGCATGGTTAAGTGTTTGGCCACAGGTCATAGAAGACTGGGACGCGTGCTTGTGGACGCTAGAAGGTCATAGCGCAGGGACCACCTCAGTAGTGTTCTCACACGACTCGACGATGGTGGCTTCGGCCTCTGAGGACAAGACGGTACGGATCTGGGATGCAAAGACAGGAAAGTGTGAACGTATACT